TGACTATATTTTCGACCTCACTTGAGTCTCATCAGCGTCTTCGACCAGATTTGAAACCGGGTCATGTGGTTATACACTACCATTAAAGCCGTAAGTGCCAATGGGTCACAGACTAGACCTTACCATTATGACAAACTAGGCCTCCCTGGTATGTCATTTTATCGTTGGATTGTTGATGAGTCAAAATTTTATTATCCCTTACAATCGATTATGTTACTTGTATTAATACTGGGTAGTTTTCGATTATATTTGCTATTCAAGTTTTACTGATAATATCGAAACCTGCTCATCGTGAATATCTTTAATGCAGTATATGCGAATAAAAGTTGGGTTTCGATGAATCTCTTGTTTTATAATTGTTGAGCTTACTTAATGTAGTCGAGTGTAATAATTAAAAGTTAGCATTATCAACGATATGATTTAGGAGAATTCTGGTTTATCTTGAAAGCTACCTCTGTCTTGCATGTTTTAGCTATACCGTATCCCTACTTTACTCGTGCCTCCCAGTTTCGAATCCTTTTGAAGGTGCTGATGAGACACAGGCGGTGTTGAAACTTCGGTCTATCCCGTATAATTATACTTTTATGGAGGCATGGCTAACTAAATTCGATGGCATCGTAAGACTTACTCAGAGCATTGTGGAAATATTATCCTTGCAATTTTACAGTTTAATAGAAGTTGTTTGACCTTATTTTTGCAACTTTCTCATTTTGGTAGGAAGACTTAGAGTAACGCACCTTGTCCGGAGTCCTTAACATGCATGATAATTTCCAGTCGGACCTTGGACTTGGTACATTTCCAGACGTTTCGCCGGCATCGTTAGTGAGCCTTGCCATTCCTAGCACCACACTATAACTCGTCAAAGAGACTTCATTTGTCTCTGACGAGTTGTAGACATAGAAAAATTATGCAGAGCGTTGAAGAATTGGAACTACATTCTTTTATATTCATGACCTGATAGAGTGAACTTAATTAGATATATATATATACTGATTTAATTAAGGTCAAATTAATGAGGGCTTCAGCAAGCTCTGTCCATATCCACTTTTTTTAAATACAAAATTCGATGCTTTCTACATTATCGTAGATATGAAGACAAGATAATGTGGCCTTTGTTTGGTCGCAATCTACGTTATCATTTCCACCGCTCCCATTCATCTTAACGGTCCCCTATCATTGCTATCGATGATAAGACTATACGAGATGTTCCCTAATTGGCTCTTGGGCAATCTATTTTTCTTTACTTACCCATATTTGATGGATAAGCCCTGGGAATTCATGCTTGTTGTTTCTAGATTTAGAAAAAACATTTTCCAAAAATTTTTTGAAATTATTCCGTTTATTATTTTTAATGGATAACCGCATGAGGATGCTCTCCTCTGCTGCGTCTGATTAAACGGGAAAATATTTATTTCTTGGTTTTAAAACCCTTAAGTTCTTGCCACGTTTTTTTATAGTACCACTTTCTTAGAGCTTTTGTATCTCAGCAATTTCGCAAAATACTTTCCCTCTGATATTTTTTGCTTTATTTTCTTTTTTGTTCATGGATTTATCTCTGCTAAATTTATATTGCTGTTTGTTTTTCCACGCATAAATTCCAAATTCTTCAGTCTACTCAGCTATTAGATCAGAAACCAGCCCAACGTAGCATTACGTTAGCCTTCGCGCGCTCGCCGATTCAACCACAGAATAGCTTGACCCTTGAACGTCCTTCTTCACCTTTAACATCACTAGCTTCTTCTGTTTCACCCGTCACATTTACCAAAGATTTATCCTCTATCGCTCTTCCTGAAAATAGCAATCAGCAATACCACGATGACGGTTTGTCTGATTTAAACTCAGTAGCACCTGCTTTATCCGATACCACAGTCTCAACGGCCATCATCATCACCAACACTACTAGCGATTCAATTCTCCCTGGAACCACTGAAACAGTCAATGTTGATTTATTACCACCCTACTCTAACTCAGAGACTGGCTCAAGTTCGTTGATTCCCATTCTAGGGGGATGTGTGGATGAAAAATCATCCTCGGATCAGCCTCAACACACTACTTCACAGCCTCAAGAGTTAGTCGCAGATTCCTCTATTCCTGAGCACGTAAGCTTTATTTGATCGCTACTTAACCTAAATGGCTCGCGCCGGAAGAGATCGTTTTATCATTCCGACATTCACTTTTATTTATTGATCACCATTAGTCTTCATTGTGGTTC